AGTCCATAATATCAACCCAACAAGTCGAAACCGTATTGGAAAAGATCAGTCTTTAGAAAGCAATTGGCCCCGACGGCATTCCGAACTGGGTACTGAAAGCAGCTGCACCGCTGCTTGCTGGTACAATATGTTCCATCTTTAATACCAGCATTGCACAAGGTACCATCCCGACACTCTGGAAATCAGCAGACGTAGACTCCTCAGCAGACGTGGACCCCTACAAAACTTGGACCCCTCTTCTTCCTTGTGATGATAAATGACTTGAAAATTAACACTCCATTGTACAAATATGTCGATGACTGTTCCACTTATGAAATCGTTTCAAGATCGTTCCCCAATTCATCGCTTCAAGCTAATATAAACACTATAAATGACTGATTGATTACATCTGCACCAAAGCAAGTAAACGTCTTTATACGCTCTAAGGATCCTCAAACGATTTGGTGCCCCTGCCAATGATTTAATAACTGTTTTTTGTGCATTTATTCGTCCAGTTTTGGAATACGCCTCACCTGTATGGCATTTTTCTCTCCCTCAATTCCTCGCTGACCAAATCGAGAGTATACAAAAAACGTGCATTGAAGATCGCTTTCCCCCAGTCCTCTTATGCTTCTTCACTAACAAGTGTTGGCCTTCTTACACTTAACCAGCAAAGAGAGAATCAGTGCTTGTCATTTTATAAGAACATCCATCCATCAACACTCAGACGACAAGTTGAGAACGCTACTTCCCAGTGCTATATCTCACAAATTCAGTCTAAGAAACAAACGCACTTATCCTATGTACAAGTGCAAAACTGAACAATATAAGAACAGTTTTATTCCAAAGTGTGTTAGAAACTGGGACCGACCGTGGGCATAACATAATATTTTATAGTACATATCAATATAGTTTATATTACAGTAGTTTTAACCGAACTTTTCGTAATTTTTAAAAACGTTAACATAATCTTTGTAATATCATTTTTTTTTTAATTTTTATTAATTTACAATGTGGTAATTATTAAAAATCAATCAATCATTGAAATATATTTTGGCCTGTCGCTCAATATAAAACGTTCATAATCCTCTCTTGCTTCCGGAGTCATTCGTGCTAGGTCACGTTCGGTCCAATATGCTGGTTCTTTTATTTGTCCATTTTTTGTGTGAACTCCACTCTACCCGCCTTGCTGTTAGACGTACCATACGAACATAACTAGCAGAAAGCAGTGACGTACATGCGAAAACAGTAGAGGTGACTGTTCATCACATATCATACATTGAGCATTTTTGCCACTGTAGAAATATTTCCACGAACATCTTGGACACTTCATTAAGTATACAATGTGACCATTCTCCTTTCCACAATAGTTACAAGCTAGTTTCTCGGACTCATCATCATCCTCGTCGTCATCATCCTTATTATCATCACCATCATCATCATCATCATCATATTCGCTTTCATTACCACTCTTATCAGATTTCATGTCCTCTTCACCAGATTCGCTTTCAACATCACTCTCGGATTGTGGCATTTCATATTCCTCCTTTGCCATTTTTGACAATAAATACTCATTTTTAATTAAATATTTATTAATCCCTGCTTCTAATATAGGCCTTTTGTAAACAGGTCGAGTCCTCGTGGTTCAGGAATGTGAGAGTTGTATGGTAAAAGTGCGTATCGTAAAAGGTTCTCGATGTTGGTACCAGGAATGTCTTTTCCAATCTCCCCCTGAGGATTCCAAGTTAATATATCGCTTGATATAAGAATGGAATGTAGAATTTTTTCTGCTCTAGTTTTTTGACATTATTGTTCAGATACAAAAGTATATCTTCAATGCGCCAATGTCTCGGAGATGTTTTACTGTCGCTGTTCATTGTTGAAATGATGTATAAAATGTAATCAAAGGGCTTTTATAGAAGTTCAGTCAGGCTTTCCAAAATAGGACTTAGTAACAGTCCAAGGAAACCGTTGCCATGTTGAACGAGTATCCGTTTTTTTCTTCTTCCACATTTTCCTCCATCTGCCAACCTAGGCATTTTATGCTTGTAAGGTCGGAGTTTCTTCATTACATGCTTCGGCATTAAACATTTTCTTTTCATAACGTTTTCTACACAGAGACACAGGCAGTGTACTTGCTCAGCGGTTGCTGTTTCCAGTAGCGCTTGTTGTTGATCAGGCTCAGACGTGCCCAGCAGTTCACGGAATGGCTTGTGTCTTAGAAGATTGATCATTTCTGTTCGGCCGTTTGGAAGCAAATGATTAAAACACAACAATAAGAAGGTTTATATCGGAAGTGAGAAAGCATTTTAGACAAGGCTCCGAGCTATTGAGAGCTCGGCTCTGAGCTTATCGAACTTGGCTCCATGCGCATGTCAGATAAGGATAAGAAAGATAAGGAAGATAAGAAGATAAAGATAAGGATAAGGATAAGGAAGACAAGAAGATAAAGATAAGGATAAGGAAGATAAAGATACAGATCAAGATACGGATAAGGATAAGGAAGATAAAGACAAGGATAAGGAAGATAAAGACAAGGATAAGGAAGATAAGAAGATAAAGATAAGGATAAAAATAAGAAGATAAAGATAAGAAAGTTAGGGATTAGGAAGATAAAGATAAGGATAAGGAAGATAAAGATAAGGATAAGAAAGATAAAGATAAGGATAAGGATAAGGAAGATGAAGATAATGATAAGGAAGATAAGAAGATAAAGATAAAGAAGAGAAAGATAAGGAAGATTAAGATAAGAAGATAAAGATAAGAAGATAAGACGATAAGGATAAGGAAAATAAAGAGAAAGAAGATTAAGATAAGAAGGTAAAGATAAGGAAGAATAGTGGATAGATGCATAAATAAATATATAGAACGAATACGCCAACTTATTATCACTTGCAGCCAGACGTTCGCGGTGTGAACATGTCCTTTCCGTGCAATATATGTGCCAAAGTATTTTCACCACGCGGCAACCTCAAGCGTCATACTTTGAATACCCATGGAGATGTTCAAAGCAAACCAGTTGAAATCTCAGCAGGATCTTCAGTTTTTGTGTACCGTAGCCTGGTGTACACAAAGCGGCAAGACTGTGTGGGTGAAATCTCTCTTGGAGAAAGCACAGCAAACTATAAGTCCACCTCCTCAACGTATCATTTGGTGTTATGGTCAGTGGAAACCCTCCTATTTTGAAATGATGAGGAGAATGCCTGGAATCGAGTTTACTCAAGGCATCGACATCGACAACGCAGATTACTTAGACTTATCGCAACGGGATTTGATCGTATTGGATGATCTTATGGCACAATCCGGCAAAGATAAACGTATGTCCGATTTTTTTGCGAAAGGAAGTCATCATCGGAATTTATCTATCATCCACATCGTTCAAAATATATTTCTTCAAGGTAAATAAATGAGAAATATCAGTCTAAACGCTCATTATATCGTATTGTTCAAGTCACCAAGAGATAAACAACAAATTTCTATGCTTCCCAGACAAGTAAATCCCGGGAAAGCACAAGAATTTATGAGGAGTTATGAAGATGGCACGAGGCGACCTCATGGATATTTGATGTTGGATTTAAAGCCAACAACAGACGATCAACAACGACTCAAGACCAACATACTTCCCAGCGAGATTGCAAAGTTTTTACAAAAACAGTCATATCGACAACCACCGCTTGTCAATGCAATGTATGATGCAGAACAGAGAATGAAAGAAATCATGGAAGCGCCACAGCTTAGCGCCTTGGAAAAAAACAAAATTATATAGTGATCAGCTAAACCGGTTTCTGACATTCAAAAATAAGATGGCTTATTCTTCTCCTGGAATTCCTGAAACCTCTGCTCAAAGTATCCCACACGCGCGCAGAGATGAAGCCGGAGAAACTTGCAAAGTTATCCCCAGAAGATAAACAAGAATATGAGAACTCTTTAAAAATAACAAAAACACCTAAACGTTAGAAGTAGATGGTACTAAATTTTGTTAAACGTTTTGAAGAAATAAATGTATTCTAAAACTGAACACTGGCCGTGTAAAATTTCGGCCGCAAAGCCACGCGCCCGCTTTTAAGGCATACACCTGCGTTATAAATCTATCTGCTATACGCGAATTATCTCTTCCGAGATGGGTATAACTCTGCTATACATTTCGATAAAAATTTCGCCATGTAAGGGACTCGAACCCCCTTATTTTGTGACAAACCCAAATGCCATACCATTCGGCCACCAAGGCATTACAATTTCCTTGACATAAAAATCAAACAAACTATGCTTACACCAAACACGTAATTATATCCCTATCGATCCATTGGGATACACTTAGTTATGCAAATTTTTTGTTAGCCTAATCCCTTAATTACCTACACGCCTCCTAATGACTTAGCAACGCATAACAACGCAACATATGCAAAGTTTAAAACATGTTTATTGATACAAATAACAGACGATAGTGTCAAAAAATATTACAACTAAAACTGTTTGTTAAACTGTTCTACAAGTTATTTCTCCAAGAATCCTTGATAAGCAATTTTATGATCGACAAACGTAGAATCTGGATCTTTTTCCAGTTGCTGTAAATGTTCGAGTAGATCTCTGTCAACCGCCAGTTTTAGTACCCTCATTGCCTCAGCGAATTCATTCCAAACTATACGCTTACCATTCACTCGTTCGATCGCTTGTAAACCATGCATTTGCCATCGTTCGTTTTCGTTCATCATGAGGCAGTCATGTTGTCTTTGACTAGGATGACCGACTTGACAACCATTACAGAAATCCACACAAAGTCTTTCAACTTCTTGTGCGACTTTATTCGCAAAAATTCCTTCCAATAAATTTAAATAGCGGTTTTACCGTGTAGACACTCCATGACTGATACAGAACTGTGCTTATTACAAGATGCTTGTCGATTTTATACAGACACTTGTATAAAAGTACATAGTAAGCCAATATTAATCCCTCTATTGTATCACACACGTGGAGGGACGCTAAATAATGCTTAGTCAGCAAGTTTCAGACAATCTCGCCCAAACATGACCGCTTGACGTCATTACTTACCTAAGCTTGGCCACGTGACGTCAATGATATATTAAGTGAACTGCATATAATGTGCGGTGCCTTTAATTACCTGCATATATAATGATGCGGCCCCCTTGCATAGTAATTACTTGCATATATAATGAAGCGGCCCCATACGGACCCCTAAAAATAAGGGTCGAAAACCACCTACTATACTGCTGACACTCATTGCTTAATTATCGGTCCACTCCAGTCGGGGAATTCATAATACGATAAACTTTAAGAGTTTCATCCATTGTCACGTATTAATATGTTGCCGCCTCCTATTTCAAATCCCGCGCGTCTCCCACGCGCGTATCCTGCGAACAGGCTGTCAGGATCGAAAAGCGGTGCTTTTATATAAGCTAATAATAGATCTTAAATAAAAACATACAAAGACAAATCAACTTATATGTTGTTATTATATGTTCGACTATAGGAGTATTATTATTATTATATGACATATTAGTGTAATGTAGTGTTATAATTCAATTAAAACACAGATGAACGCTTGGGATCCCAGTGGTGAAACACAGTGTCGCGATAAATATATTTTAAGATTAAATCTTGTGGTACGAAACTATTTAGTAAGTTGAAAATGTTCTTTCGCAAGTGAGTTTTTCCAGACTGCGCGCAAACAGAAAGATATTGCCTGCCGCGGCTGGGTTTTGAGATATTGGTTTACGAAACACAAACAGTGCTCATCACCATATAGATAAAGCGTAATATATATATATATATATATATATATATATATATATATATATATATATATATATATATATATATATATATATATATATATAACTACAGACAGTACCGTTTCGGCCTAATGGGCCTCATCAGTGTAGTGCTGATGAGCAGGATGAAAGTAACTCTTATTTATAGTTACCTTTGATGCCTCACGATTGTGGGACATCAAAACCATGCCAGAGCGCTCAAACTGCAAGCAGTGAGCGTGCGCAAAGCGTAAGCGGCATGGCTCATCCTGTAGAGCGCTCAATATGACCTAAAGGCTCACTGCTTGCAGTTTGAGCGCTCTGGCATGGTTTTGATGTCCCACAATCGTGAGGCATCAAAGGTAACTATAAATAAGAGTTACTTTCATCCTGCTCATCAGCACTACACTGATGAGGCCCATTGGGCCGAAACGGTACCGTCTGTAGTTATATATATATATATATATATATATATATATATATATATATATATATATATATATATATATATATATATATATATATATATATATATATATATATGTTGAGTTGTGTAATTGTACACTCCGTAATATGTTAAGGTGAAAATGTTCTCGAGTGTGTATTATATAATTTCCATACCCATTACGGAGTGTACAATTACACAACTCAACATAACACTTGCAGAACTAATATTGTTCGATGCTGAATTAATATAAACGAGTATGTTTATGACATTCAGTATATATTTCATAATTTCCAGTCTTAAATCCGTCTGACCGTGTAGCTCAGTTGCTAGAGCGTCGATCTAGTAATTCGAAGGTACACTACAGACGGTACCGTTTCGGCCTTATGGGCCTCATCAGTGGCTAACAAAACAATATATATATATATATATATATATATATATATATATATATATATATATATATATATATATATATATATATATATATATATACGAGTTGGTTTATATATATATATATATATACGAGTTGGTTTGTTGACTGCAAATTCATTTGTCGTTCATTGCAAACTTTTCTGAACAATTTAACAGTCCGTTTCGTGATTCTTTACTGACGAAACAGAATGTTGCGGAATTTTGAGGTAAACTAAATTCTATATACTTCGAGTATATATATATATATACATATATATATATATATATATATATATATATATATATATATATATATATATATATATATATATATATATATATATATATATATATATATATATATATAAACGATGGAGTTCTCCGAGAGTAATATCACATACGTACCCTTTTCTAGATATATGCAAAATTAAAAGCAAAGATTAACATACGATAGCATTCCTCCACTCGTGAGCTCATTTACCGAAGCAAATGTCCAGGCCTTGTGACCCTGGATGGGCACTTAAAGGAAGGAATACACACACACATTCGTACGATTATTTAAGGTGACGCCACATGAAATGTTACCTGTTATGCTTCAATTATCCAACAATATGTCTCCACGCAACTCATCTCCTTGTCGCCATATTGTTCAAACAATATCAGGAAATACGTAAATGAATAAGTCAAATACTTTTGACTTAAATGCTGAAAGCTACAGCAATGACCTAGAAACTACTAGGATTATCTTATAAGGTGATAGGAAGTAAAATAAATACATATTTTATGTCTCTCAGGTAATATATAAACGATGGAGTTCTCCGAGAGTAATATCACATACGTACCCTTTTCTAGATATATGCAAAATTAAAAGCAAAGATTAACATACGATAGCATTCCTCCACTCGTGAGCTCATTTACCGAAGCAAATGTCCAGGCCTTGT